GTAAATCATAAAGTCAACCAAAAAGTCGACTTTAACTAAAGACAGAGCAGAGCAGAGCAGAGCTGCGCTGGGCAGAGCAGAGCAGAGCGACCGCCTTGAAGGGCTTTTCCTGGCCGCTTTGCTGACGGCTTTTGGGCAAAGTCAAACCGCAATAAAATTGACACGTTCAAATGCGCAGGATCCGGTAAGAGCATGGGTCCAGTGAGACGACGTGTACATAATGTATGCCAAAGGCACAAAAAATATGTGTGTATGTATTTGATTGCAGGACATGCGCATTGCCCGGCAAGAGCCACAGCCCAGTGTCCGTTGCTCCTCCTTGGCCGTAGCCAGTGCCCGGCACGTACACGTCTACACTCGCCACACCCGTGTGTGATTGCCGCAATCATTCTAGTTTCATTAGCTCAGCTGCAGATTTATTGTTGGGCCCACCCACCCACGCTTGACCCGAGCTCTTCGGACAGCCACAGCATCTATCAACAGCAATTGATTTTTATTTCGCTTTATTGTTGCCCCTCGTCGACTGGTCAGATTTTCAGGGCAATTTCGTTTGTCTGCGTGTGCTTCCATTGCAATTACCCGGAAGCTTATCACGCAGCCTTAATGCCCCGAACCCCCAAACCCAAACCCAAAGCCAGAGTCCAGAGTCCAGAGTCTACCCTTGGCGTTTGTCGCTTTGCCAATTGCACCGCAGCGAATCGCATATGGAAATGCAAAATTGCTGACATCATTCGAATTTCTCCCCTCCCCCGCCCCTCCTCTATATAACTGCCTTGTTTTGTTGTTTTGGCCGCGTTTCGATTGTTGCGATTATCGCATGTTAATATCCATGAAAATGTTGAGACCAGCAGAATGATGCCTGGAGCCGCCGTTAGATAAGCGGCGCATGGCCATGTTAATGGACAGCGTGCAAATTGGCCAACTGCCAAAACAGCAGAACACCCCCCTTCCACCCCCTCCACCAAACCCCTCCATGACAGCATAGCCAATACGCGCGCGATCCGTTCCGTTTCGTTTCGCTGTGATCCGTTGCGATTCGATATATTATAATAAGTTATGTCTGTGGATATGTTTTATGCGTGTTTCACAAACGACTGACTAATTGTCTGGCCGATTGACTAATTGACTGCTTGACTGATTGACTGATTGACTGGGCGCTGTGTATGCGTTGAATGTGTGAAATTATTTGTGCGACGGCATTATCATTTTACAAAGATGTTTATTCATGCCTTCGAGCTAGACGTGAGTGTGTGTGTGTGTGAGGTGTGTGTGTGAGGTGTGTTTAGTCGTTTGTGTATGTGGAAACCGCAAGTGGTTGCAAAAGCTGCCCAAAAACAACAGAAAACAATAGGAAACTTAATTGTGGTCCTCACATAAAACTAAACATGCTTTTAAGTACACTATGCAACAAATTTAAGTCCATAAATACATTTTAATATTTATCAAGTTTTTATATATGAATATATTTTATTATTATAGCCCAAAGAAAATGCTTTCATTTAAATAAAAGACTTAAGCATTTATTTTTATAAGTAGTTCCAATCTACATTTATCTTGCAGAGAGTTCTTTTATTTTCAAATAACTCATATACCATACATAAGATATAAGATATATTTATAGATTCTGAAAATGTATATTATTTATCCATCTACCTAAAATCAGGTGTTATCATAGGCAAGATACGCTAGAGCGTGGCCCAATAATTTAGAAGAGCTTCTCTTTGTATTCATGTGTATTTATGCAGCTTGAGCTCCAACTTTGTTGTGTGGTGTTCATTTTTTTGGGCGGTTTTTATGCTTTGTTCCTGTTGGGAAATGAGTGGCACAACCAAGCTGGGAATGTAGCTAGTTGTATAACATTGAAAAGGGGGGCTCAGATCTCGCCGATTGCCAAGCAACAGCTGTGACTGTGACTGTGACTGTGAATGTGACTGTGCCATGATCACTTTATATTCATTGACACTTAGTGTGAATTTCGTACATCATAAAGAGCGGGGCAAAGCTGTGGACTTGTGGATGTCTAAATTGCGGTCGCCCGGGCCGACGCACACACAAAGCTGGCTTTTGTGCGAATGCCGACGGTTCGTTTTGGGTTGGGAAAGTGGGCAACTGGCAGCCCGCGAGAGACAGAGACAAACAATCGGCCAGATGATGGCCATAAAGCCAACTCAAACACTGACAGGCCGACAGTGCGAGGTGCTAATTCACTATTAAAAGAAATCAGAAAAAAAAAACGAAATAAAATAACACACAAGCCGTCAGAATGCTCTAGTCGGATATGCCCGACTGCCAGATATCCCAATCACAGAGTCGAGTGGACGTCTGTCTGCCCTCCTCTTTCCATAGACCCACAGTATGGACTATTCTATCTTGCCTAACTCGGATCTTTGATGTTTGATTTTTATGAAATTTTCAGGGTTTAAAAATGGTATGCAAATAAGTGTATATACCCAAGCCCAAGCATATAGCTCTATAAATAATTGCAAATTGAAAACTTCATATATCTAACTCTTATGGTTCTCGACTTTGTGTCAAAATCGATATTTATCGATATTATGTACGCAGGAGAAGTTAACGCAGGATAGAGAATATATGAATGAATCGACAAAAACCAGCATACCCCATTTTTGGCCAGCTAACTAGAGATTTCTATAAAGAGGCTCAAGAATTGAACAGAGACTGGGTTTTTGGGCTTAGGATTGGGGGCCTGGTGTCTCAGCTGCGCTCAATTTCCCACTCATCATCTCCAGCTCTCACGCATCATCGCAGCGTCGACTGCGCACCAATAAAACTTAATTTTGTTTGTACATCACAGGAGCGGGGGGAGACAGAGAGGTGAGGTTTTAGCTTCATAAATGCGTTTGGGCTGGGCCTTGAGCTATTGAATTATGCATTGTTATTGTGTGTGTGTGTGTGTGTGTGTGTGTGTGTGTGTGTGTGTGTGTTTTGTGGGAGCAGAAGTTCTCATGAAGTGGCAGCCATTGATTCGAGTGCCAAATGCCATTGATTGAGCGCAATAAAAGCGAATCGCGTCTCGAATTAGATACGGCCGCCTAATTGATAATAATATCGCGTTTATATTGTTTGGCAATCGGAAATCTGTTAACTCTTTAAAGCCGACCTTTTCTGTTAACAGCTGCTGCTCGCTCGCTAATCCACAGCAATTCGCTTGTAATACGCTTCTCGCTATCTCCCTCCCTACCTCTCCCACTCTCACTCGCACTCTCTCTCTCGCTTGCTCTGCCTTTTTTATGGCGCATAATTTTTCAATAAACCTGCCTTCTATTTCAGCACTGGCCAAAAAAAACAACTTAATCCCCACATGATTAATTATCAACAACCTGCAAACCGGGCAGTCACACCCCTAAACAGGAATTAATCGAGTTGTTTACCCCGCCCCCAACACATGCCCCGCACCACCCGCACCACCCCTCACCAGTCAACAGCCAGCCCAGCCCTGCCCACACTTGAGGCCAAACGTTCCGCTTGCGCTTTTTAATTTACTTGCTTCTAGACCCGGGAGCCCTGAGCCAGGTCCCCAGGGTCGACTCACTGTTCCCTTTTTCCAGGATACCCTGTACTTATTGAATATGTCTTCAAAGGGGTATAATAAAGGCTGGATGCAATAGGACACCTCTTCGATTTTTTATAGAGTCAGGCAATGCTCGTCTGCTTTGTTTCGATCTGACGCAAAACTACATATTTTTGGCTTAATCGATAAATATCGATTTCAAAACTTGCTCCTTAAAGCATGTCTTAGAGCTAGTCGTAACAAATTTGACATTGAGACAAACGCAAGGAGTTAGTTTTTTTTATAGTAACAAGAACTTCGGCAAAATTCCGAAGAATCGATAAATATCGATATCAAAACTTAATCTATTAAACATGTCATTGATTACTAGAGATAGGCCTTAAAAAATTTTATTTATATATATTTACAGGGATGTAGTTTATTTGATAGTAACAAGAACTTCGGCTAAATTCCGAAGAATCGATAAATATCGATTGGCTGCTTGCCTCTTCAAGGCATAACTCGGAGCTTAGAAGAGCTACTGACAAACATATTTTGCATTTCGATTCTGGTCTAGCATATGATTGACTTTTGTGAAGGGGAAAGGGGCGAAAGGAGAGCAGCTGACAACAGGGCAGCTTCTAGTCGAGCATGCTCCGCTTGTTTTGTTTTTTTTTTTTCTTTGTGTGTGCGCTATCTGTTATTATCAAATCATAAAATGTTGCCACTTGGCTGAGATTCCCAACTGCAGCCCCCGAAAGCGATTCGAAAGGGGTCGAGCACATTTTTTATGCGCTGTCAAAACATGTTTTGACAAAGGGAGATACAGATAAAGTATCTAGGCTTAAGGGTACGGCTGGAGTTAAACGGGATTTGCTGGTGTTGATAAGCGCAGCAATTGACACCCTTTGAGCACAATTTGAACAGTTCGAAACACATGTTTCCCTTGAATACGAATTTGATTGCCGTGTCTCAGTTGTTTGTATTTATTTTTTGGGCCAGTTGGGTTTGTGTCCTTGTGCCGATGATTTCTCAATTATGACAATTGGTAAAAGGCAAACAAACACGGCAGGCAGCCGGATGCGGCAATTAATTAGCCAGGACAATTGATACGCATTGACTGCAGGCAACCTGACGCGTGCCAGGGTGGCCCGAGCGGCAAATGTGGCATGCTGTCAGTGGCAAGGACACGGCGCGACAGTTGCAAAGGATGCGCTGCGTGTGACAAGCAGAAGGAGTCGCCGCGCCGCGCCCCGACTCGCCACGCCTCGCCTCGCCTCGCCTCGTTCTCCTCTAATCGCATTAATAAGCAATTTGGGCAACCCCCCGCTCGCCAACGGGCCGAAGGTCGCCGCGCGTGTGCCGCACTCTCGAGGTCAAGCAGCAGCAGGATTCGAGCAGCTGCTCGCTCTAAGGTTTCTCCACAGGATCAACTGGGCACAGGTAAATACCTGCCCAGGTATATAAGAGTCAACGCAATTATTTTCGTTTAAGTTTAAGTTATTTATTTTGGATTTTGATTTGGATTTCGTTTTAAAATTAACTAAAACTAAAAACTAATTTACAATTTATGTACAACTGATAAATAGCTTCGATTCGATCCCGCTCCACACACTGTGCAGAGGTGGGAGTAGGGGGGGCAGATGCAATTGAGGGGCAACAACAATTTAACGCTAATTTGTACAATCGAGCGGGCAGCGCGGGTTGCGGTTCAGCGAGCATGGGCGTGGGCGTGGCAACGCCTACGCCTCAGTCTTGTAGGGCTTGAATAGCTTGGGCTTCGGCTCCGCCAGAACTGTTGTCGCCGGCGGCGGCGACATATCCGACGCTGGCCGCTTGGCGCTGGGCATCATCAGCAGACCGGGCGCGGGCAGCGGGCTGCTGGTCGTGTGGATGGCGTTGGCGACGGCGGGGGCGGTGGGCGCGCTGCGCAGCGGGCTGAGACTGCGATCGAAGACCTTGGTGTGATCGGAGCCGACGGGACTCAGCGACAACGTGGAGGAGTGCGGCGACGAGGAGGACTGCAGATCCAGCGGCGGCGTCTGGGTCTTGGGCAGCTGCAGCTGCTGCCCGGCATAGCTGGACGGCATCGTGGCGGCAGCGGCAGCGGCGCCCAACATGGCCGCCGGATAGCCCATCGCAGCCTGCATGGCCACCGCCGAGTGTGGATGCGTGTGCGTGTGCGGATGCATGTGCGGAGCTGGCGGCGGTGCCGGCCGTGCGGGAATGTGATACGGCGCATAACGGTACTGGGCATACGGCGAGTGACCGGGCACTGGCATGGTGGGCATGCCGGTGGCCAGCATGGGATTGGCAGCAGCAGCGGCGGCGGCAGCGGCAGCCGGTGCATACGGCGGATAGGGCATGCCCACGCTATTGGCGGCCGCTTGCAGTATGGAAGCGGCGAAAGCGGGATCCGAGTAGACGGCTGCGTACGGCCAGGCGACGGCGATGCGCTGGCGTTTGTCCTTCATGCGGCGATTTTGGAACCACACTTTGATCGTGGACTCGGGCAGATTGAGCTGGGCGGCCAGCTCGCAGCGACGCGGCCGGGACACATAGTTCTCCTTATAAAACTCCTTCTCGAGACGCGCCAGCTGATCGCGTGTAAATGCGGTTCGATAGCGACGAACCGACGGATCAGCAGGTATCTCCGAGTTGCGACTGCCATTCAGCGAGTTGTCCGGACTGGACAGGCACTCTGCAAGGAAAACGAAGAAGAAGAGCGAACAGTTAGTCAAGCCGTTGAGTGGAGCAGCGCTCGGTTTGCAGCACTTACCATTTGGCGAAGGCGGCGGCGTTTGTGGTTTGCCGTATTGTGTTGAGATCAGATCGACGACCAGCGGCTTCTGGTCAACGGCGCTGCTGCTGCCATCGTGGTGATGGCTCTCCATGTTGTAGGTGCGATATCCGTGCATTTTGCTATATATACTATATATTACTCTGCTCTCTCTCTCTCTCCAATTAATCAGGTCTCAGTTCTCGACTTGGCAGTGCGTTAGACTAAACGACTTAACGGTTAAAACGGTTTAAAGGTTAAGCGACGATGTTGACTCTGCGATGGTTACAGCTCAAGTGTGTCGCTCTCAGCTACCCCGGCTCTCTTTTATACCAGCCCGCATAGCAATGGCTGCCGCAGGCAAGCGCCCGGCCAATGGCAGCCCAACGCGCCAGGCGCAAGCGAGACGGCGATAGTTGTGCATTTGGCTGCTGCTATTGCCGTTGCCTCGCACTGCCTGCCGGGCGGCAATGAACGATGGTGCTAATGTTGTGGTGCTGCCGCTGCCGCTGCCGGCTGCTGCTCGCTGCTGGCTGACAATTATGCGACGATGAAGGCAATTACGATGCCGGAACAATAGTACATAAAAAAGCAGCGAGGAGGAGAGCCAAAGCAAAAGCGTGATAATGCACAGCCTGGCGGTGGTCCAAGGCAAAGGGACAAGGCATAATCAAGTTATCATGGAGCAGCAGCAGCAGCGCCAGCAGCATCTCGCTCTCTTGCTCTCGCTCTCGCTCTGTCAGTCTGTGGGAGGCGAGTGCGATTTCATATATTCATAGCGTATGAGCGAATCTTTTGTTTCGCTTGTCCGCAAGCGGGCAGCGCCACGGGTGCGAACGAGACGTGAGTGGCCCCCTTAATAATGGGATTTTATCGGCTTCATCAGGCAAAAGAATGATATGGCATAATGCACAGACCGAGATGGAGAACGAGCGCTGGTGGAGGAGGTTGCCATATCGATCCACAGGCAGCCAAATAATTTGCTCTTTTATGAAGTCTTAATATTATATGCCGCACGTTTAACGGGCTCACACTTCCACGCAAGAGCAAGAGGGAGAGGGCGAGGGTGAGGGCGATGGAGTGGGAGCGGGCAGCGACGCAGCTTAAACAGTAAATGAACCTTATCTGGCCCAAATAAAGCAAAAGTTTTAGACAACGCCCACACACACACACACACACACAGACAGCCGCACATGCATAAACAATGAAATACTTTTGGGGGCGCAGTTGTTGAAACTTAATTTGAAAAGTTTCAGTTTAGTTGCGGCAAACATTTATTATGATGATATAATCATGTTGCCTAAAGGCGCAACTGTACCCACAGCGCACTTACATGGGGCAGCACTGGCGACGGATTGGTGGTGGGGGTGGGGGGGTGGTACCTAAAGTGCTGCCAACTTGAAAGTTTTTCTTTATTTGACTTTTGTTTTGCTTGCGTAAGCTATTGAGCTGTCCGCCTGGCCGTTACCTGCTTGGGTCTAGGCTTGGGTTTGGCTTAGGGTTAAGCTGGGCCAAGAAAAAAGAGGACAAAAATAACCCAATTTCAGAATCCGCTAATTATGTCATATACATATACATATATGTGCGTGTGGCTAATCCCTGTTGCCATAATTATGCGTTTTTATGGCTTTCTAATGAAAATGCGTGTGGATCAGCGCGCCCAAAGCCCCTCTCTCTCTCTATCTCTCACTCCCTGTCTGCCTCTCTCTCTCTCTCTATAATCCACAATATAAACAAATAAACAAAATGTTGTGGCCTGTGGAAAGTCCGGCAAGTCGAAAAGGGAGTTAAAGTCGTTTGCTGAAAGTTAAATCAAAAGTCGCTGCCTGAGGGTAACCCGGTCAGCTTGAGTAAAAGACAATGAAAATTTCGGCCTAAATCACCTTAGCCATAGGCCTTAAACTAGAGCAATCGCAGCACAGCATGTGTCCAAAATCCATATTCAGTTCCAAGTTCGAGCGATTGTTCAAGATGCTGCAATAAAATCTAACTCGTATCCGCAAGGCGAAAGTGAAACTGAGCCAAACTGAGAAAATCGACTAATAATGTCGCTGATGGCAAACGGATTAACGCACAGGACACAGGACACAGCACACAGGACACCAGACCAGGACGAGTTCTAGTCAATGCCAAAACCCTTGGCATCAAACATTTCAATTTCAGTTTCAGCCTCAACTGCGCTCATTGTTATGCATTACTAAGTAACTCTCCCAGTCGTTGAGTTAGTTCAAATTATTGGGTTATATTGCGCGGCAATTTGCATTAACTCGCCGAATGCCGCTCTACCTGAACGCCCGGCGACCTGGCCAGAGTCTCTGCTGCTGTCGTTGTCCAAGCCCAAGCCTTGCCCACCGTCGAACCCTACCCACAACCTTGCCTATTGTGCATTCAGGCGCTTTTGTTTCACCCGCCGCGATCCTCTGTCCTCTGTCCGTTGTCCATGCAGAATGAGCAACCTTTTGCCTGGGCCCAAGTGCAAATAAACGCGACACTGCGGCATCGACAGTAAATACCCTTTATGGTGGGCTGCTCAACCAGCGATCGGGCCAAGCCAACTCTCTAACCTTTCACTTCGCGCCAGGCGAAAGTGAACAGCATTACCTGACCCCTCACCCTCAACCGATCAACCATAGTCCAAGCCAAGTTGAACACTTTCGGCCTGAAACCTAACTACGTGGAAGTCGCTTTTGTTGTTGTCGTTGTTGTTGTTGCTCTTTTGCCATTTTATTGGCATTTGTGCTGGCAAACAAAGCGCCGATCTCGCTGATTATGCTGATTATGGGAAGTACACACACACACACACACACACACACACACATACATATATATAAATACAAGTATGTTATGCGTATTTATGTATAATAAAAATAGGTATATGTTTGTGAAATTATTTAAGAATTAGCTTTATTTTTAATAGCATGTTATCATTATAAAAATAATTATCATAAAAAAAGCAAAATTAGAATTATATGTTATATATTTTATTATATATATTAACTTAAGATTGACAATATATATATAATATATTCTTAAACAAAAAAAACTACATAAAAAAAGAAACTGCGCGAGTAAAAAGTTACGTTAGCTTTTTAATAGAAATTCTTTTTTTTCTCAAATTCTCTCACAACAAATTAAAGATTTCTCTCCTTATAAAGGATATACATAGCTCAAAAAATATATTGAGCCCACAAGGAAATGCTTATTTGCAGCCGAAACTGTTTTTTCCTTTTAATTAATGTTAATTAATGTTTTCCTTTTATTAATGTTATTAATGTTTTATTTTTTTTTTAAATTTATGTAGCTGCCTCGAGGTGCGACGCTTAATTTATGAAAATGAAAACTTGAAGCAATTTTGTGTTAATATATATTTGTATTCAAATTATTTTCGGTTGCGCCTCGGCAAACGTCTTCAGGGTTATTTTACAAACTAATATTTGTTTTCTTTAATTTTTTTTATAATATATAATATAATATAAAGTATATGCACCTTTGAAGCCTGCCGAACGATAGAAAGTCGATTCTAAAGAAGAAATAAACCTCTAGAATAAGAAAAGAAATAATTTAAATAAATGTAAATAAATTATGTTTAAGTCGATGAGAACTTTTAAAACTCTGTTCAAAGATTTAATCCAAAATTTGTACAAAACAGGAACAAAAGTCGAGCTCTCGTATTTGAGAATAAAATATAATAATTTAATAATTTCGAATATTCGTAAAGCAAGCAAAAACTGTGATTGGCAGCTGTAAAAAGTTTGTGGATTTGTTTTACACACGCACAGTTCGAAAGATTTACGATCGTAATGTTCTGCATATATAGGGCACGCCCTAATAAAAATATCTTAAAAATGTGGCTGAACGTTGGGAATTATGGCCACAATTAACAGGTAAGTAGAGTGGCAGAGGCAGAGGCAGAGCAGGAGGCGGAGGCGGACTCTGTATAAATGGTGCTAAGTAACCTTGTGGAAAACGATTTTCATGTTTTCCACTGTTTTTCCGGCGGTCATAAAAACGCGTGAAGAATTAAAAAATTAGAGCATTCCGGTACAGGGGCTTCGGGGAAAAAAACTAGCGCAGCCGAAAAAATGCCACAATGAAAACAAAAAACTTTGATCTACATTCCTAAATACGGGTCCTCGGAATGCACAACAGGACACGGACGGAATTCCGCGAAACAGCGCACGGCCCATAAAAATCTGCATATACCATAATTCCTGAACCATTTCTTTGCCGCAAACAACAGAAAAATGGTACCAAAACGAGCCCATACCATAAATTTATGACAACAATTTTCTTTTTGCCACAAACAATGCCAAACTGGCACTAAAACGAGAGATCATTTTTTTTTGTTCACCTTGTTTATTTAGAGCAGAGAATCTGGCCTAAACTTGATCTGAAGGAGACTCTCCAGAGCTTAGATTCCTGGGGGAGATCTTATAAAAGAAGAATTCGCTTATGGCTCACATAGGAATATCTCAAGAATTACTCAACTATCATTTACAATATTTTTAATTTTTTTTGATATAAACAGCTTCATAGCTGGATAAGTATGGCAGGTCACATCCCTGCGAAGGACTCGCCGTTGGACTGCGGTTGTCACTCCGATTTTCGCCGAAGGTGCACCAATAAAAAGGCGCGTCTCACGCGGCAACTACCTGGCTAAGAATGGAAAAAATGGCACAATTTTTAGTGGAAATGCGAGCGCTCAATAAAAAGGACGCACGACGTACGCGGAACGCGAAGGACTCGGCAATTGCCGCAATTAGGAGGTTTGTAGAGCAGCGAACACAGCTAAAAATGCGCACAATGGAAAAAACTCATAAAAAGAGAGACAAATCGTTTAAAAATTGGCTCGCTTTTTGTCGACAACAAACAAAAAAACAAAACAAAACAAAAAAAAAAAAAAACAGAGCAGAGCACGAGCCAAATAATTAGGTGAACCATTGTCGGATATTGTGTGGGCGCATAATCATGCGGTTTCTTTTTTAGGGCCAAGCCCAGGCAGAGGAGGCGAATCGCGGGCGAGGGGCAGAGATACCTGTGCGGCGAGCGGCGTTGAGGAGAAGTGTTGAGCTCAAGTATCTGAAAGATAAAGTATCTTTGGCAACCCATCAGATACTCTCTGTAAGTATCTTAGAGATGAGGTATCTATAAGTAGTTATAGGAATATCATTACCTTTGTATGTACTTTATCTCTGCTATGGGAAGCTATAAGTATCGCAGTGTGCGTACAATTATCTATAAGATGAAGTATCTATGGGAAGTAGCTAGGTGTGTAGTTAGATGATGGGTAGTCAAAAGTATATCAGTGTCTGTAAAAGCATTTAAAAGATAAATTATCTGTGAGAAGTAACTATGTAGTATCTATGGGCATCTCAGTATCTGGGAAAGTATCTTAAAGATGAAATATCTATAGGCAGTATCTGTTAAGTATCTCAAATATTAAGTATATGTGGAAAGTTACAAGTATCTTAGTGTCTGTAAAAGTATCTTAAAGATATACTTTGTTTGGCAAGTAACAAGTATCTGGGTGCCAATGAGTATATCTTATGTATAAAGTATCTATGTTCGATATCTGTGAAAGTATCTTATAATATCTCAAAGGTTATTTATCTATGTTCAGTTATGAGTATCTCAGTATCTAACGGCAATTTCTTTATTTAATCACTTCGATTATTTTGTTTGTTTGTTTTTTTATTGTCAGCAAACAAAACCGGGCGAGTTATGATATAAAAGATACGTTTTAATATGATTGTTTTCTTAAGCTAGCAGCAAAATAAAGCTCATAATTCGTTTTGTTTTGCTTAAGATATGGCAGCTGTTTGATAAAGTGGTCCGTCCATGCCGACCGACTTCGACTTAAGAACTGCCTACAGCAAAAACACAGCTCTCTGCCAAGTTTCAACAAAAACTTGACGACTGCTAATACTAATTAAGAATTGATATACTCTTTATTTCTTGAATATAGTCATGATTGTGAGCCGTCTTTAAGCCATAATAATCCCAATTCTTCTTTAAGCATAGTCATAATAAAGGCATATGCTCTCCGTCTGCTTGTCTCTCCCTCTGTCTCTTTCTGTCCTCCGTGGTAATCTCGATATGGCTAGTCGGAACCGCAATCGATCGGCTACGTTTACTATAAATACGGCGCATTGCGGTATGCGTGCCGACGGGAGGTTCGCCGGATTGGTGGCCCATGCCGAGCCTAGCGAATGCCACTCCAGCGGCAACAGGAGACAGCGGCACAAACAAACAAATAAACAGAGAAACCTGCGACACAGATACGCCAACAAACGCTGTTGGGCATCCGCATGCTCGTGAGATGCCTGCTGGGGCAGGTCCAGAGTCTTCGGGCCAAAGGAATCTGCGTCTGCAGTCGGTAGCCGGTAGTCCACCGCATTGACGAATCACATCAAAGTGGAACACCAACTCAGGGTCAGGCCTAGCTAACAAACATGTCAAATCACAGGCTGACAGACCGACGACAGAGGTCCTGCCAAGCAGCAGAAAGGACACTCAGGACTCAGGACTCGGCAAAGAAAAAGCAGCATCGACTTACCGCAGCAAATTCGCGCTCACTGTGCGCTAACAGCAGGGAACACCATAATATTTTGGTTGCTCCGCAGGACTCGCTGCGAGTGAGAGAGTGAGAGAGAGATAGGGAGAGCCAAAGAAGGAGAGAGAGAGAGAGATCGACGCAGTTTCAATGGAATTCGAAAACCGAACAATTTATTCATGAGCAATTAGCCACGGTGAGTGGAGCGGAGACCGTTTCGGTTTCGGATTCGGAACCGATCCCAACCGATGCGATACGATGCGATCCTGTGTGCGCCGCAGGACCAAAGGCAACGGTGGCGGCGAGTCCTGCCGTTGGGTTTTGCTTGGCTGGCGTAAATTTGTGAAAATCATATCGTTCCGGTTAGGCCTTTGGCTGCTACGTTTTAGGTGGTACTTCTGTAGCAATTTTATTTGTATCGTAGGTGTTGTATTTGTCAACATTTAGCCCAAGAGATCCTGCTTCCCGGTGGCACCGGATTAGACGATCTGTGGGCACGCATTTGCAATGCCTACTGCAGCACTAATTGGGCCTCGAAATGCGACGAGTAGAAGAAAGCAATTGAGAAATTATTTGTGCTCGCAGGACGTGCCCAGCTTGTGCGTTAAGCATGTGCTAATTTTTTACTAAGCAGAGCTTAATGGGACTTCGGGCTGGGAGTGGGTCAAAAAAGAGAGAGTGCTCTTCAAATGTGGCTAAACACATCGGGCTTTAAGTATACTATAGTCACTTTTGACTATTGAAACGCTTCGCTCTCAAAGATTAATATATGGCCTACTCGAATCTTAAAAAATCCTTATTAAAACAAATTTGTAGTGCATTTAAATGTATTTATTTAGTACCTAACTCCTTTTTATACATATATAAGTGGATTTTTGTTTACATATCGATTTTTAAAGCTTCCTCAAAACCACCCCAAAAATACTCAAAGAAATTCCACTTCATTCATTACGCGCCCATGCAAGGGCGACGTAAGCGCGCTTACGTTTTAGAACATTCGTAACGTTTCAAAACAAGCAGACGCTGTCCGTGTGCAACAATATGCAAACCTAGTGGCAGCACGCATGGGCAATAATTGAACAAGCAGCATAAGCTTCGACATCTGGCAACGTCAGGCAAAATGGCGCGAATACTGTAAAAAGTAACAGTTAGCTTAACGGGCTGAGATATTAAACTAGTCTAAAGTTTAACGTAAATTAGAAATTAGCGCAATTTTATTATAAAATCTTGTCTTTAGTATGGAGTTGACTTGTGTTTCTTAGCTGCTATCGATTTGCTCTTTAATTTACTGCTGTTAATCGTGCTCCCCGCATCGGGTGTCCAGATGGAGATAATGCCGCTTTCGCCGCCAGTTATAAGTAGATCACGCTTCGCATCGTACAGACTCTCTCGTACAATTTGCTTGTTGCCCACAAAGTTTGTAAGGGGCTTGAGGGTATCCTTGGCAGGAGCCGTAACGGAACGCAGAACCTCGCTATACAGAAGAGAGTTATGGACGGGTCGACAACTCATATGTGGGATCAAAACTCACCCGCGATTGAAATTGGTGCCAGCTAGCAAAAAGACGCCATCGTCCTCCAGATTGTGGGCATTGATCAAATTGAAATTGCCGGCATTTTTACGTCGTATACCAGCAACAATGTCGGATCGTTCAAAGGAGATAACCTCATCGCCTTCCATGCACTCATAGCTCTTGAAGTCGTTGGTGTGCGTTATGCAGGAAATAATGTCCTGCTCGTAGACATTCTGATGCCAGTTGAGGCGATGCACACTGCTCTCCGTGTTGATGGTATTACACAGCGCCTCATCCTCGTCGCTCTGCTTGATATCAAACACATTTATCAGGCCATCTGTTCCGCCCGTGCATAGCAGATCCGGATTGCTGGCATGGAAACGCACAGCCGTCACATCGTCCTCGTGGCTTTCGTAGTAAACACCCAACTGTTTGCGTTCGCGCACATCATAAAACAACAAATACACGTTGCCCATGTGCTGCTCTGTGCCGCAGCAGATGATGCGGCTGTTGGCATTGCGATCGAAGCATGTGATGCACTCAGGCACGGGCGGCAGAGCTGGTTCCGCTTCAGGATTGACTTTGTACTCAAATCTTGCCTGTTCGCCCGCGGCTCGCAAATCAAATAGACGCACTATCCCATTCGTGGTCCCCACAAGCAATGTGTTTGGATTCTCCTCCAGAAAACGAACACCACAGATGGTGACTGCATTATCGGAGCTGGTCAAGGCGGGCACCCGCTCCTCATGAATTGCTGTCAGTGCGCCTGTTGCACTCAGATCGTAAATCTTGACAGCGGTATTTGAGAGACCAGCTGCAAGGCGCGTAAATCCAGGATCCGCACATAAGCCCAGGACGTAGTCACGCTTCAGAGACAACGACGCCTCGTCCTTTGTGTGCTGGGTGCGAAATTCAGCTGCCAATTCCTGAGCGCTACAGGTGTCCTCGTCCTCAATGTCATCCTCTTCCTCAGAGCTCGGCAGTTCCTTAGCAGCAGCTTCTGTAATACCAAGTAAGCGTAGCTATAACGATATTCTAATTGACAATAATCATTGGTACCGGCAATATAATCCACTATGCTGTCGGTCATGTTTACGTTTGATATCAAGAAGAAGAAGAGATACACGTGCCTGACCAGAGTTACAGCTCAGTGAACAGAGTTGCATTTTAATGGTTTTTAAAAGAACATTCACTGCCATATGGCATGAGTTTATGACGTCACAAGCTGAAAATTATCGACTGCAGTGTTCACTCGATTAATTTCGTTTCGAACGAGCCGATAACGATTATTTTAAAACAGTTTAAGCTTGAAAACCAAAAAAAAAAATTGAAGAATCCCAATTTGAGCTTGTTTTACAATTTAATATCGCTTTTTAATATGATACAAAAGTGAATTTACAAGAAGCCATTCATGTACCTAATTTATTGTATTTTTTTAAATCTGAAAAATGTTCGTTGAGGTTTCTTGATTGCTTGCTTGACTTGACTTTAGTTAATCTATTAAATATATATGTATATATATATATATATATATAATTTTTACATGCATTTATGTCTGTATGTATAATGGTGTGTGTCTGTGCTGTCATACAAATATATATATATGCTTACACTTAAATGTACATATATGTATATTAATATGGCGCCTTCGAACAGCATTCTCAAAATCAACAAAAAAGGATTTAAATTCCAGCGCAATTTTCTTTAACAAGAAGAACTCTCTTCGACATCAACAAGCAACTATATATATATATATATGTGTATTCAATAATTAGTTATATGCGTTTATCTATTGATCCTATTATTCACATGAAGTCATCGTAATCATCGGTAAAATCATTTCCATACTTTTGATAGTCATCAATATCCTATAAAGATATATACATAATTAATAAATGAAGCCAATCGATGCAAAATTGACCTACATCGCTTTCTTTGCGCAACGAAACTTTTCCCTTGGCCTTGGCAGCTGACTTCTTGGCATTTGCTTTTTCCATTTTCTGTTTTTCCGAGTGCAAGCTCTCCACGCTCATTTTGACCTTCTTAATGTCAGCGGCGCTCACTTGATGGGGAAATCACAATTATTATCAGTTTAGGTAGAAATATATATAGTTGTGTTTCGCAATTATCACTCACAGTTTACGCATAAGCTGCGCACCAGATCCTCTATAAATTCTGGAAAATGTACAGATTCCCGGTACTGTGCTACCTTCCAGCTAAGTGTGGCACCAAATTCCTTGAACTCCTCTTTACTCTGCGGATTGAAGGCGTCGAGACCGCCGCCTATACTCGTCACACCGAATGTGTCTAGGGCACTCTTAAGATCGGATTCCTCTTGAATTTTTTGCAAACGCAGCTTTTCCGCTAATTTTTCCTCGGCTGTCATGTTGGCCAGACGCTTCCGTTCCTCCTCCTCGTTTAGGCGCTAAATAATTAATTTGAAATAGATTTATTTATATAATCAAATAATGATTAGGTCAAACCTCTTGTTCCTCCAATTTCGCTTTCAGTGCCTTGTTGGGTTTAGTTTTAACTGGCGCTTCTGTTTTCGTGGGCTTCTCCTCATCTTTTTTCTCCTCCTCATCCTCCCAGCTTTCCTAAATGTTGAAAATTATTTTTATTATTAGTTGGTTTAGCGTATAAAAGTGCAATAACAAAGTGACCACGTGTACGGCAAAGCGAAAGTGAAAATTGTTTAACAAAAGCAAAAGACCCCAAATAAAAAAAAAACTAGTTTAGACTAGAGATGGAAGCGTGTTGAATTTGAATTTCAACTCGACGCAAACACGAATAACCAGACGAAAATAAACTATAAAAAATTACTGACTTGGGTTGAAAAATGTTGTGTTCATTAACTTCTTCAATTTATATATTTTCTAAATTTGTATCGCAATTGAATTCGTTGACCATATGCAATATTGAAAGATTTCGTGTTGAGCTGATGAAATCATACTTTTTTGCCACGAACACGTCGTGCGCACTCGTGTCACGAGCACAACTCTCGTGTCGCCTGCCAACAAAAGCAGATTAACAACTACAACAGCAACAATTGGGTTGCTTTGTTAACAATATGCTAACTGCGAGTTAATTTCTACGCACCTTAACATCCTCGTCGTCGTCCTCGCCCTCCCATTTGTTTATATTGTTAGTTGCATTCGGACGTATGACAATTTCACTGTCGGCGGCGGATTCTGCAAGATCATAAGACATAATGTTTTTGGTTATTATGTATGTACATATATATGCAATTAAATTTGCTATAAATATACATAAATATCAAGGTTGGATGCACGTCTCCTTTCTAGTCGAAAGTGCGCGGGCGGAGCGGGGGTGGGGCTGCTGGGTTAGGGGGCGCCACGAGCGCCACATGCGCAGCGCCCACGTTTTATTTTTAATGACGCATCCACGTGCACTTACCCCAGTCGTCGGCCATTTTAATAAAAATATTTGTGTATTGCCTTTATGTATTGTGCTTAGACGTAGCAATTTGTGTTAATTTAAAGCAAATTTAAGCAACAATTCCGTGTGGTTGTCTATATAAAAAATTCATCGAAACTAGTGATGAATCAACATCCGTGTATCGATTTTTGCCACTGCGACTTTTATGTATTTTACATCGATAAGCTTTTGTATACGATATATCGATGTATTCAAAGTTGCCTTTAATATGGCTAAATAATAGTTGTTATATAATTAATATGGCGTAAATTAATTTATTTTATACATTTTTTGCAGGAGTAATTTAATTAAAACATGTTTACTTTTGAGCCCAAATTTCAATGTATGTGAAATTAGTCGCGCATACACTGTAGCATGCTTGAAGTTAACATTTCGCAGTGTTCCCACTGCGCTGCATCTGCATGTTTGCATAACACTATGTTATCATTGTTATCTCTAGCATCTATCAATAATTTTAATGTATTTTTGTTTATTGTTTTATTGGCAATAATCTGTCATTAGTTTACCAGTAAAATATTTGTAAATAATTGGAATTTCTTATGTATAGTTTTAAAAAGAGATTTATACATATGTACATGTGTACTTTTATAGTTAGCAAAGGCTTCAATTCAGCCTTTAATCTCGAATTTTTTTTAGAAGGGAACCAACTGCTATGAAGCCGTCTCTTAATACATTGTATCATCTGCTGGGAGCGCTATCCAATAGGAAGGCAGTACTCCGGGATCTTCTTCCAATTCCAAGGACTTTACTTTCTCAGTTTGAGCTCCCTCGACAGACTTTAGCTCCACAACAAAGTCGTCCACCTGAACGTCTGCTTCGATTGGCTTCGGTTTGTGCTTCTCCATATGCCGCCTCATATTTCGCTTCCACTTGGTGATAAAGGAGCATTCATTACACTGATATGCGATGCCCTGCAGTGGCTTCGCCTTTGCATGGACCTGTGCGTGACGTCTCAAATCGTAGGCGCGTTTCGATTCATATTCACATTGGTCGCATTTATAGCGTTTATCGCTCTGGGTTTCTTCGGGTGCGGACCACTCCTGGGAGCAGGATTGCGTCTCGGATACCATGTCAAAATCGGAGCTTAATGTCTCTGCATCGATGAGCTCCACAACAATCTCTTCGGCTTCCGGCTCATTCGTTTCTGCTGTTAATTCTTGCTCGCTGGGATCCTCGTGCTTGCGCATGTGACGCCTCATATTACGCTTCCATTTGGTTATGAAATGACATTCGGAGCACTTGTAGGCCATGCCATCGACCACCTTTATGCGAAAATGCGTCTGCTCGTGACGTCGCAAATCAAAGGCGCGATTCGATGTATAGCGGCAGAGTTCGCATTTGAAGCGTTTCAGCTTCTTATCTCTTGGCGTCTCGTTAATTTCATCCGAAGCCAGAACCATGGTGACTGTGGTTTGATCGGGTGCAGCTTGCTCCTCCTCGATCTCCGGATCTTCGGTTGCTTCAATTACCTCCACTATAAACTCCTCGATGGCCTCATCCTCTAGCTGACTGTCCTCTGCCACCGCATTCTTTTTATGCTTCTCCATGTGGCGTCCCATGTTGCGCTTCCATTTCGTTACAAAGGAGCATTCGCTGCATTTGAATACAGTTCCTTCCACGGGCTTCACCCTGGCATGGCGCTGCTGATGACGTCGCAGATCGAAGGAACGATTGGACGTATAGTTGCATTGGTCACATCTGAAGGGTTTGCCATTCGCTCTGTCCAGCATTTTGCTAGAGTTTTTCTTTATTTTTATATAAAGCATAGAGTTTTTGTTTAACTATGATCCTAAAATAAACAACATTGCATGTTATTATTTGCGGCGTGCAGATCGCAATGCAGCGCTTATACTTATTCTCAATTGGATAACATATTTTAATAGTATGTTTTTTAACGAATGCGTTAGCTTAATTAACATCAAATTGTTTGCTTTTCGCGAATTCTATTAAATTCATAACAATATGAGTCCAATTATTGTAATACGTCGATAAAGGTTAGGCCTTCGATAAGATATTCGATAACTAGCTTGCATGTTGCCAACCTTTGCACGACTTCTTCATTTTGCGATGTTTTCGACTATCGCGCCTTGAACCCATCTCTAGACTCTATATCAGCTCTTTTTGGAATTTGTTGCAGACACCGCGTGGTGTTTTTGCAAGCGATTCCCATTTATTTTCCTTTAATTTGCCGTGGAAAATAAATAAATAAGTACAAAAATGAGTTTGTACAACTTTAAAAAGATAATGGTGGTGCCGCCAGCAAAGGTAAGCAAAAGTAGCAGCATTTTAAATTGCTTACGTCTGTCGGAGCACCCAGTGCCAACGACATAACCTCACTGCAAATGTTTACAAATGCGCAATATGTAAATAATTTATCCTTTATACCATTTTCCAGGACTTTATCGACATTATGCTGTCGAAAACACAGCGCAAGACACCCACAGTCGTGCACAAGGGCTACAAAATCTCGCGTATTCGTGCCTTTTACACGCGCAAGGTGAAGTACACGCAACAGAATTTCCACGATCGTCTCTCGCAGATAATACAGGACTTTCCTAAACTGGATGATGTGCATCCATTCTATGCAGATCTGATGAATGTGCTTTACGACAAGGACCATTACAAATTGGCGCTGGGTCAGTTGAACACAGCCAGACATTTGGTGGACAAGTAAGCAGATTGACAATTTTCACCATATGCATCCTGATCGATAACTTACTAAAATTTTGCAGTGTGGCGAAGGACTATGTGCGTCTGCTTAAGTACGGCGACTCATTGTACCGCTGCAAGCAGCTGAAGAAGGCTGCCTTGGGTCGCATGGCCACAATCTTGAAGCGTCAGGCTTCCAATTTGACTTATCTGGAGCAAGTTCGTCAGCATTTATCGCGTCTGCCTACTATTGATCCCTACTCACGCACCATTATCATTTGCGGCTTCCCCAACGTGGGTAAGTCCTCGTTCATTAACAAAATCACGCGTGCCGATGTCGAGGTGCAGCCGTATGCGTTTACCACAAAATCCCTGTATGTGGGCCACACAGACTATAAATACTTGCGCTGGCAGGTGATTGATACACCCGGCATACTCGATCATCCGTTGGAGGAGCGCAATGTTATTGAAATGCAGGCAATTACCGCTTTGGCCCATTTGCGTGCGTGTGTCCTGTACTTTATGGACATTTCGGAACAGTGTGGTCACTCCTTGGAGGAGCAGGTACAGCTGTTCGAGAGCATCAAACCGTTGTTCACAAACAAGCCACTTATACTGGCCATCAATAAAATCGACATATTATCGGTGGAGGATCTGCCCGCGGAGCGTCAAGCCATTATCACCAAGCTGCAGGAGGATAAACAGGTGCCTGTCATGTTTATGTCCACAGTGCAAGAGACTGGCGTTATGGAGGTGAAAACAGAGGCTTGCGAACGCCTGCTCTCCTATCGCGTGGACCAAAAGATGCGCACCAAGAAGGTGGATAACATACTGAACCGTTTGCATGTGGCAATGCCCGCTCCGCGCGACGACAAGGTTCGAGCTCCATGTATACCCGAGCAGGCATTGGCGCGTCTTGAGAAGAACGCAGCCAAGGCTGAACGTAAACGCAAGCTGGAGAAGGAGATTGAGGAGGAGATGGGCGATGATTATACGCTCGATCTGAAGAAGAACTACGAGGAAATAGCCGAGGAGGAGCGCTACGATGTGATACCAGAGTTCTGGGAGGGTCGCAACATTGCCGACTACATCGATGCGGATATTTTCGAGAAGCTCGAGGAGCTGGAGCGCGAAGAAGGTCTGCGAGAATCTGGCGGTGTTTACGCTGTGCCCGACATGTCCATGGACGAGACGCTCAAAGAGATTCGCGAAATGGCCAAACAGATACGCGGCAAACGTTTCGAACTGCGCGACGAGAAGCGTCTGTCCTCCAGAAAGAACAAGCCCATCATTCCGCGCAACAAGCAGCCCAAGGTGCGTGATCGTTCTGTCAGCAAGCTTGTGCAGACCATGGAGGGTCTTGGCGTCGATATGTCTGGCAGCGAGAATGCCAATTTCACCAAATCCGTGATGGATCTACGCCGTGGCGTTGTGGCCGTTGGCAGCAAGACAACACCCAAGCAGCCGCTGCTGGACAAAGAATCCTCAGCGGTTGTCAAGAAGACCGGACAGCCACTGAAGCGTGCGCCATCGCGCGATACGCTCGGCATCAAGGACGTTGCCATCCGGAAGAAGGCGCAAATCATGGCCAAGCGCGACATTGCCAAGAAGGTGACACGGCTGGGTCTCAAAGGCGAGGCGGATCGTTTCATTGGCACCAAAATGCCGCGGCATTTGTATTCCGGTAAACGAGGCACCGGCAAAACCGATCGCCGTTAAGTGCCTTAGCTTTATCTCTAGTTATCTTTATAATTCGCTGTACAAATGTAACTTGATCCTATGCAACATCTGCGCAAATCAAATGCAAGTTGTATTTAATAAATATTTAAATATCTTGTGGGATATTTACAGAAGGAAAAGTGGGCTCAAATTTGAAATATGTAAACTTTAAATATCACTTTGCCTTGAATTAAACATTCAACTATATTTATTGCTGCTCTAATTGTACGAGGTCCGATCATGAAAAATAACATTGCATAAAGAATTTTGCTTTGTTTACAATCAAAAGCATTTGCTTTTACACTCTCAGCTTGAATCTATATTCATATGCATAAATTCTGTACTGCCTGAATATAGACGCAGAGCCTGACATCCTTTTTTAAAAATTGTTATTATGCTTGCAGTGAGTTGCCCTGCAGGACTATTACAACAAATAAAATTGAGCCCAATTATTTTTACTCCTTAATCAAAATAATTTTCATGAATATCTCTCAATCCTGCTTTCAGTTCAAGTTTCATTTACGATTTTATATATCTATATATATTCATATTAAACATCATGATGTGTATTTAACATAGACATACTTGAAAGCGAAACCTGCTGCTTACCATTTAAATAATGAGTATCTTCTAGCTGAACAATTTTAACTTCTTTATTAAATGCAGCTTCATTTTTCTCAGTGTCTGTTAATGAAAATTAATTTTTAACATTGAGTTTTCTGCGATGCGGCAAAGCAGC